TCGGCCATTTCGAAGCGAATTCATTTGATCGCGCTAAAATCGTCATGCAGGCCATATTGCTGCATATTGTAATTGGAGAGTATTTTTTGACCTTGAAATCACTGTGAAATGCTGCTCGAAGATGGCGAAATGCGAATTCGTGGTTGGGAGACCTTGAAATGCTGCTCGAAGATGGCGAAACGCGAACTCGTGGTTACAAGAAACTTGAAATACTGCTAGAAGATGGGGAAACGCGAACTCGTGACTGCAAGAACCTTGAAATCAAGAATTTCATGTACCCGACACCACTCCAGCCGTTTTGTGTGCCCGCGTTCCTTGCCCCACATTACCCGAGACCACCGTGTGCGCCTAATTTCATCAAAACGAGAACTCTTCGCAGGCTACCGATACATTTCTTACCTTTTTTGGAAATTCCTTGTATGTATACACGCGGGGAATCCTAGGATGCCTCCTCGGGTTTTGGCCTCTGGGCCAAAACCCTGCGGGGGCATTAAAGGATCATGTTCAACTGCACGAGCTACGCGCATGGATTATCCTGTTTATTTCAACTTAAATCCTAACAATTGGAGTTCCAGTGGGCCGATGCCCAATTTGCCCGGTAGGCCAATTTGCCCGGTGGTACACTGCAGAATGTACTGATGCCGTAACAATAATAAGATGATGTTCAAAAATCATAGCCAGAATGACACGGAGGAGATCAGCAACAGTTCACGGGCTGCGGCAACGAAAGGGAAATCTACGGGAAATGGACCAAAGAAGAGGAGCAAATGCTCGTTGACCTATGAGATGATTGAAAGCAAAGAATAAGTAACGTGACAGGCTGTAAACAAACAGTGTGGATGTGCCAGGGCAAATAATTTTTGTCGAGCTGGACATTCTTTTGGATTTGCCACGGACAAAAGGAGATTTTGTCCTCAATGCGGATTGACTCTTAACCTCTCTGTCCTCGCTCATGGTTTCCGCATGTCTCTCAAAGGCTGAGCTCCGGGTGGATGGTGGCAGAGATGAAGTTAATTGTCAAGTTATGTGGTGAAAACAGCTTCGGATCGGCAGCTGAAGCATATTAAAGATTTTAAAACAGGTGGTGTTGGACACGACCCGCAAAGTCTGCCGGGAGAAATTTTCGCTTGCGCTCATTTTCACCGGATCGCCAAACGGCAAACATCTCCTTGCACATGCTGAAGGTGATGTGGACTGAAATATGACTTGTAGGAGCTTCGCTCCCTTCCAATGTTAAGAGAAATCTCAGATGACATCCATATTAAATCTTTCGCAGGCCAAGTAACAGCTGTACATGTAGATGTCTTCTGCTCGATTTACAAAGCCACCAATTTCGGGCTGAACAGCTGATTTTAGCACCGATTCTATGATTGAACGGAAAATTATTTCCATTTCTGACATCTTCGAATTCGATCTTAACTTGCCGGAATTGAACGTAATTTTGGCACTTTCTTTCTTAGATATCTCGACTTATTCATCAAGTACATCGGTGTATCGCTGACCAACAAAATGGTTCTTGACAGATATTTTTTGGTCGATGCCAAGAGAGCGTCAAAACCTACGAAGAAAAGGGTTGAATAATTCGAAAACAAAGCAATGTTTTGCTGTTGAAAACTTGTGTAGAGCTTGATTAATCGAGTTTCGCCCACTGTATTTTCTTATTAATCAAAAGGAATCATAAGCAGCTTGCTAGTGAACGATGGCTCTTTCAAAACAACAAAAATAAATTGCAATAAGTGGAATTGACAAAAATAGATAATGGCAATTGATAGTTGAAGAAGTAGGGTATGGTTTGCTTCAACATCCCCTAAGTTGAAGCAATCAAACTTCAGAATCAAACCCTTTAATATCTTAAGCAGTCAAGCTGGAAGCAAGCCTACCTGTTAATTTTTCTACACCTCCTCTATCATCCACATCAGCAGCAGCAGCTGGGACAAATTGAGCTGTGTGTTCAAGAGGAAACAACTTTATACATTAAAAAATTAATTAAAAATAACTGAGACAAATTTCTTTTCAAGTTCCAACATTGTAAATAGCAGGGGTTTAATTAAGGGCCGGGCACCGGGCAAACTGACCGGATGAGAGGATGGTTTTGCCCACCTTGTTTGATCATCTAGAGGAAAGTTTTTCTTATAAAGAAGTTCAGTACAAAATGTTTTGCCCACCAATAAAACTCAGCTGCCTTCCTGCTGAAAATGTCACTGAAACCTGTGGAAACCTGTTAAAGGACTGTTGGAGGACTGTTTACTACGAGTACATGTAATTTGTTCCTCAGCCCTTACGAATTTAGTGATATTTTGCTATTTTTGTCTATTTCACAGCATTTGGAAACAGCCTGCTACAAAAAGAAAAACTTGCAATTTCTGTTACGTGCTTTTTCAATCCTGGGCAATACTCAGTGGCAAAGCCACTGATGAGAGTTGGGATCACAAATTAACACAGGTCAATAACCGATGATTAAACCCACATGTACATGCAAGCTGTTAAATGTATGACCGTTTGCACATCAACTTATCCATGCATCTGGACCCAAGTTTGATAAAAAACAAAACAAGAAACAAACATACAAAAACGAAAACAAAGCAAAACAAAACAAAAACAAAAAACACCCCCATTATAACAGTTTAAAACAACATCTAAAATACCTGGAATTTCTATCAAAGACAATTTGCACGCTACATAGTCCTCTTCCAAGATAGTTGTGTTTAGCTTTATGGTATCCATACCAAGCTCCTCCTTAACCTCTTCTGTAATAAGGCATTCCTCGGCAACTACATTTAGGTGACCAGAGCAATAATCACACCACAGGCCTTCAAGTATTTCCATGGTACCGCATTTGACAATCACTTTAATGCTACTCTTTTGGAAGTTCACATTCATTAAATGAAGTTCTCCCACTAAGTACGTACAGAAGTGACGTATCCCCATAGTTGTAGAGAGATCAAACATTCTCTGCGATTTCACCTCATCAATCTTCTCTTCCATATATCTATTCACTTTTTCTCTTTCTTCTTGAGGATCTTGATTCCGTGAGTTTCTGCTGGTGGCCCTAGCACAGGAAATCTTCATAGGCAAGTTACCTAAAAAACAATTTAAATCAGCTTGTCACCTTGCAAGAATTTGTCTGTCTGTACTACATGGTTTCTTGAAATTGTTTCAACAAACAATGCTGGCCTGTTCACGAAGTCTGTAATCAACTATCAATCATTAATCAATCGATTGACAGATGGGTTGATGATTGGTGGGTGGGAGCACGAATGGAGTACGTTACTTTATTATTCAATCACGGGAGCATTCTTCACTCTGAAAAATCACTTAAATAAATAATTAATAAATTAATAAATTAGTTGCAACAGTATGACAATTTAATGTTGCCTTCCAAATATGACCTGGCTACTTTGCCTAGTTCATGTGCAGCTTCCCCTCGAGACTTCACAGCCAGTTCATTTCAGTGACGTAAACTGTAACCAGGACGACTGCTTTTTTCGCTCAAATGAATCCTAAAAGACGCTGAATGTGGAGAAATACCGAGGTCTAGGAATTAGGCAACTGATTACTACACTGTATTTTAGGATGTAATAGTAAACAGACGATTGGTCGTATTTACCTAGGAAGCTAACTATCTAGTAGGTAAATACCAGACATCAAACCTGTGTTTGTACAAAAAGAGCTATAGTGAGAGACTTAGTCACTTATTAATAATAATGTAATAATGATTTGTTTCACAATGTGGTCACTTGTGATGCAGATCGTGACATCTTCATCTGAAAATAATGATGTCAACTGGTTACACGTCAAGGTGGCCAATTTCTAGAAATTATGTAGTACAGACAGACAAATTCTTGTAAGGTGACAATGCAAGCTACTTTTTTAGGTAGTTTGTTAGTCACTTGATTATAGATTGAGTTGAGTGGATGCACAGGTGAGATAAGTTCATCTTCCTTTCGGTTTCGTAGTTACCAAGATGAATTACACATCTGGGAGTTTTATGTGTCCTATTTTCCTTATTTACCTCAATGCATGATACATCTGAGACGAATCCTTCGTCTGCATAGGTATTAATATGGTCAATGCGTCCTCATTAAACCATGGAAACAAACAAGGAAAACAAATAAATATAACATCTCCTTAGGTGTGTTCCAAACTAATCATGGCCAGAAAGTATAAAACTAAAAGTTGAATGAATGAAAGATGCAAATGCAGCCGTAACACCACTGGAAAAATGACCTGAAAAACGTTTTGGCCTCTGAATGGGATTCGAACCCACGACCTTTGCGTTACCGGTGCAATGCTCTACCAACTGAGCTATCAAAGCCACATGAGAGCGGTCGTGTGTGGGTTCGGCCCTATATGTTCAGTGGACGTAATACTCAGCTCAAATATATGAATTCCATGGTTACCGTAATAGATGTCCAACAGTTGCAATTAAATAATGAAAGAATGAAAGATGCGAATGCAGCCATAACACTACTGGAAACATGACCTGAAAAATGCAAATGCTTACACAAAGGTCGTGGGTTCGAATCCTGCTCGAGTCCTGGGTTCGAATCCCGTTCAGAGCCTGTAATTTTTTCAGGTCATTTTTCCAGTTGTGTCATGGCTGCATTCGCATCTTTCATTCTTTCATTATTTCATTGCTACTGTTGGACTTCTATTACCAAGGAATTCATATACTTGAGCCGAGTATTACGTCCACTGAACATATAGGGCTGAACCCACACATGACCGCCCTCATGTGGCTTTGATAGCTCAGTCGGTAGAGTATTGCACCGGTGACACAAAGGTCGTGGGTTTGAATCCCGTTCAGAACCTGAAATTTTTTCAGGTCATTTTTTCAGTAGTGTTATGGAGCTGCATTTACATCTTTCATTCTTTCATTCTTTAATTGTTACTGTTGGACATCTATTACCATAAAAGTTGTATGATTTAGACCAACATAATCATCCTCAGCTATTATGAATACCTCGTTCGGGATTTGGATCCGAACTTTTCCGTTTCCGATTACTTTTCACTCCACTGGAATTGTCTTGATGTTGGGCTGAAGTTCCAGTATATGCACCTGCAGAAGCACCAGGTACTTCTCCTGTCACTCTTTCTTCTGGTACATGACCAGCAGGCAGCGGTCCTTAACAAAAATATGCAATGATGAGTTCAATCAAATAAATCAAGAAATCTGTGACTAATAATTGTGGGCCATGACGTTTAGGCCAGATCCAAAATTAAAAGCGCAACGCATCTTACTCTCCCGTCATTCTGAGAGAGTCAGGGGATGTCAACTACAACATGAGAAAGATGAAAAAGGGGGTCAAAATTTTTTGTCTTGAGTAATATATAAAAAAAAATGATACTTAATAGTCTGAGTCATGGGTAACAGCTCCTCAATTTGTTATTCCAAATACATACAACAGTGCAACATTGGATACAGAAAATAACATTATCAGAGCATATAAGATAAACATACAAAAGAAATAATAGTGCACCTCAGAGTTGTTTCTGTGTGATGATGGATGTCTGACTTGACATCCTGTCTTGATTGGATCCAAAATAGACTCTATATGAAAATTACTGTCAGCAGCACTAGTATCCACATACACTCCACTGCATGACAGAAATTTGGCTTAAATAAGAACCAGCAACTGAGTATATTTATTCTGAGGAAGACTGCCTATGATGCATGAAAAGCTATGACTTTGGAACAAATTTAGCTTGTTACAAGAAAGATGATCTTTCAACCTGAGAGCAAACCAGACACTTGTAGCCACGCCCAATGAGTTCATTTTGCCTCAGATAAAAACTACACTGTAAGCAAGACTATTGATTTTTTTCCAAATCAGCAATTCAGTGTCTAAGTATGGTTTAAGCTAGTTATTGTTAATGTAAAATTCCTCCTTGTTTCTGTTCTCTCAACAAATAATAAACTTTACACATCACTTCATTTTTCATCAATATTGTATATTACAAGTGTCAAGCTTAATATTACCGTCAGTACAAGTCATGTAGTATTTTAATACATTTAAAAATGTAGACTGAAATAACACCAACTAAGAAAAAAAAATCAAGTTCCAGATGGGATTTGAACCCTGAAATATTCAGTCACCATTTTTTCAAACAGAAATACCGATACATACATTTGTATATAATTTTTAAGTTACTCTCATTAAATCACGGTAGGTGACAACTAGACCCCTTTACAGTCATCACTTGGGGTCGTCACTTAATTGTGCTATATATACTTTCCCTCCAGTCTCTTTTGTGTCGCAACCCCAAACAATGGCTTCAAAATACATTTAGGTGAAAAACCAAACTAAAAACATTATTAAAAATAAAAAGTTAAAACAATAACTGTTAAATTCACCAAATAACAGCCTGCTTGATCCAGAGTACATCACATTAAACATTAGACTGCTATATTCCCATCATTTAGTAATTATTAAAAGTAGAAAATCAGATATTTACCATTAATGTAACAAAACTGCTCAGCCAAGTCTTGGCGCTGCACAAGTCTATGTTTTAAAGCGTCACACAATGCTTGATAGGTTGCACCAGAACCTTTTTCTTGTTTCCAGTGCTTTAACATATAATATCCCTTTTCAGAAGGTTGGTCGTGAGATTGACCTATTTCCAGGAGCTTTGAATCAGTGACATCTAGGCGACGCCCAAGCTTTTTCCAGTTTTCTACAATTTTATCACCTAATTCTTCTAATTCTTCATCTGTAGGTGTGCCATCCTTAACTAGATAGAGAAATAGTTGTTTACAGATAACTGTTGTTGTTGTTGTTGTTATTGCTCAGAAAATACTAATTTTAATAAGAGATTCCTATATTAAGTATTCTATGACATTTCTTCCAAGTGAAAAAAAATCGCCAAAGAGATTCAGTACCAGCTTAAATTAAAACTAAGGCAACCACTTATAAGCTTGCAAAACTTTATACTGATGGTGTCATTCCAGTGGTAATGTTCAGATCAGTTACAAATAAGTTTCAACTTCCCTGTCATGCTGTTCAAACAAATATTGCAGCGAAATAATGAAATATATTAAAAATCCTAACTGGCAGGAGGCAGACCAGTTTGCTATAATATGTTATGAGTGCAGCCAAGAATCTGCAAGTAAAATAAGATTTCCCAGTATTATAAACTCGTCACCAATTGCTAAGGTAATGGGCAAGGTGCCTGAGGGATGGTGGAGCCGAGATACAAGTCTCAAGCAGAGCACATACAGCTGTAGGTATCCATGGCAACCCTAGGTGGCAACCACCAGGTACTGCCACACTGACAGAGTCGGTGGAGATACAGTACTTACCACCACATATACTTACCATCACCAGCAAATTAGGGAGGGAGGCAAGGGAGCAAAAGTGCACTTAAAGTATTAATGGCACTTGAGGCAAATTGCACGTTCTTACTCAGCCGGCAAGCAAAACATGTACATGTCAGCCATGGAAAAACCCCATATGAGACCCTGTGCAGAGTATGGTTGCCCTGAAAGGCCACTGACCAGCATTGGCTTGAGTCAAACTTTACCTTAATTACATTTAGCCACATTAAATAACAGTAAGAGTTACAATTGTAACGCAGACTCTAGACCGGGGATAAAATGCAGAATGTAGACTGTAGACTTTTTAAATATATATCGCATTATTTCCATTATTGATTGCTGACCATAAACAGGGCTGTTCAGCCTAATCATAGTGAAAGTCTGCACTCTGGTTGGCCAGTAAATATCACTGAGGCTAGACTGAATATCACTCAGGTTAGACTGAATATCACTCAGCTTAGCCTCAATAGCACTTCTGTAATCACCTGTTAGCTTGTTTACAGTTAGCTGTCAATGATGGAAATGGTAACACATTTTAGTTAAAAAGTCTACAGTCTGCATTTCACCCTCAGTCTGCATTTTTTCCCCCATTCGCAGTCTGCAGTCTGCAGTCTGTGTTTCACCCTGACCACATTAAATAATGACTATAACTCTAAATTAATGTCACAAAATTAATTGCTTTAACTGAGGGATAACCCATACTTATAGAGGACACCTACCTACATGTGAAAAAGAAATGAAAAAACCCTCAGAATAATTCTTAAATAATATTGCAGTGGAACCCTGCTTACAGCCAGTCAATGTAAAATGCAGACTGCTGACTGCAGTCTGCATTTTACCCCTGGTCAGCAGCCTGAAGTCTGCAGTCCACAGTCTGCGCTTTACACTGACTGCCTTACAGCCACCCTGTTAATACAACCACCTCATTATTGCGGCCATCTATAATTATTACAGGCATAATCAATCAATAAACCAATAATCGATATCAATTGATATCAACAGCAATCGATGAAAATCAGTGAAGAAAAAATAGTTGTGACTTCAATTGTTATCGATTGCCAATTGTAATTGATAACGACTGATTCATCAAATGACTGCTATTGATTGTTAACGGAAATTATTTTGTCCTTTTACAAAGTTACGCTGATAAAATGTTTGACAAAATTTGACTGTAATGGTTTCGTCAGAGTCATTTTATCACAGCCTGTGTATCTTTCATAATTATCAACAAAATGATGAGAACAGAAACAACTAAGAGAAACATTTTGGGCTTTACATCTTTCTTTGCCAGTTTAAACCACCAAAAGAAGTTCAGGCTGCAGTAACAGTGTACCATCCTCCAGTCTCATTGTAGTGTTGGTATTATGTAAGATGAAGCAAATAAACAACAGAGTCATTTGTTCTAGTGATTTTGATTATCTGCATTAGGAAACAAATACCAGAATAGATATCAACGTAGGCCAGAAGGAAATATAATATAGTTGCATAGCAGTAATCACTTTGCTACCGTAAATATTGACATGTGAAAGAAGAAACAATTTTCGGGATGCATGTGTTAACACAACTATGAATGGACGATTGCCAAGAATCTGCTTTAGACCCCAGAAGACTGAAATAAAATATAATGCTGAAGATGACTGTCTGTCTTGTGTTGCTCCAGGTATTATTTTGTACAATAACAAAGCCACCTTTGAATAGTCTGGGTGGTTATTGTCAATTTTTTTCCAATCGATTGTTATCAATTTTTGCCAATCCATAGTAATTGATAAAGAAATTTTTCTGTGAGTTCAATTGTTATTTGTTGATTGCAGATATCAATCAATAGCAATCAGCAATTGATATCGATTAATATCAATTGAATCAATTGGTTTCGGATACTGATTTTTATTGATTGACTACGCCAGGTTTATTCAGTCTTAATT